TTTTGTAGTTTGGTGAGGTTTGTTTTTTTTTTTTCTTTTGTTTTTGGTTTTGTTGGCTTTTTTTTTTTTAATTGGGGTGGGGGGCCAATGCTGAGAACCAAACCCAGGGCCTCATACATGGGTTTGTGTGAGGTAGGGTAAGGCACTCTGCTCCTGTGCTAAGTCTCCAACCCCATGTTGTTCTTATACAGTGAAATTCCCTGTACTATTAAAATAAATATGAATAATTTATTTTTCATATTATGATGATTGAGGTTTTTACGGCTTATTTTCCACTTGATATTAAAAGATTTTTAAATCTTAGAAAAAGGTTGACCATAGGCTCTTCTTAGACCAGGTCACACCCTGGAAACCATGTCAACAGTCAGTCTCCACAGGGGCTCCTGGGACTTTTCTGTCCCCTCTGTTGCTTGCTCCCCAGGAATACTGTCACTAAGTTAGTCTAGGTTTTCTTTCCCCAAAGCTCCGAGGAGAAAGACAGTTTACTAAGTATGTATGGAATAGGGGAAAAGCCAAATGACTTCCTATAATTTACTGCCAGCAAGGCATTGGGCTTCATAGCCTGGGTCTCTGCTTTCTTTACAAAGGGGAGTTGAGCCTTGGCTTAAATAGTACACAGAGGATTCACACAACAGAAGCAGGTTTGCTGACTCTAAAACACACTGCTGACATGGAAGTCCCCGGACACTGCAAGGGTATAAAAGTTGGGAGAAAGGGCCTGAACAGACTTTCCGTGTGACAAGCCTGTGGAAATTGTTAGCACACATCTTCCCAATGCGTCCTCCTGCAACCTCTGTGATGTAGGCAGTAACCCCCCATTACCTACTTGGGGTCACTCAGTAAATGAGAACCAGGTTTCAAATCAGCTTCAGGTCTGCCTGTCTTTAGTACTTACTATAATCACCAAGGAAGTAGTTGATAAAGCATGGACTCATGGTAGTGGAGCACAAAGTCTGACCGTTTAAGCCTGGCATGGCTGTGTGTGCCCGTAACCCCAGCACTTGGGAGCACCGCATACACAGGAAGAAGTAGCAGAGAGTTCTACACCTGGATCTGCAAAGCCCGCCCCCAATAAAGCCACACCTCCTCCAATAAAGCCACACCTCCTCCAACAAGGCCCACGCCTCCTAATCTCTCTCATTAGTGCCACTCCATAATGACCAAGCATTGAATCTGTGAGTCTCTTGGGGCCATCCTCATTCAGGCCACCACCCTTTTATCCTCATGGGCACTTTACCCAGTCTCCTTTTTTTTTTTTGTAATTTTTTAAAAGATTTTTTTTTTAAATATAGATTTGTGTCTGTATCATGTTTGAGGCAGGGAGGCAGGAGAGATGTGCACCCGTGTGTGCTAGAGCCTGCAGATTCCCTTGAGCTGGAGTTACAGGGGGTTAAGAGCCACCCAACCTGGGTTTGCTCTACAAGAGCACCAAATACTTTAACCACTGAGCCCTAATCTTTGTGTTCTCAGGAGTAGCTGTGCTAGCTGGATGGAGTTGGTTTTTATCTGTGAGTTTTTTTGCTGCTGTTAACAATTGTTGCAGTGTTGGAAACTTAGGGTTTTACTCCCACTGAATGCTCTAAGCACTGAGCTACACCCCCAGCCTCGGTGTAATGTTCACTTCATTTCCCTGATGCCTACTGCTGTTGAGCATAAAATTTATCTTTGACATTTGGCGTTTTATACAGTAAAGCAAACTAGAACCAAGCAAAAGAGGGAAGCTTATTCAGAAACATGACTCACACTGCACTCGTATTGTGGGTCTTGTTATAATACTCAGTTGGAGTTGGTATTTGTCATAAGAAAGTCAGTCAGCATAGAAAAGTTAAATGATGTTGGGTAACAACACCAAACGAGAAACAGATAAAATGTATTTTAAGCCAATGGTGCAGTTATAGTCTGGTTATCTAAAGATTAAGGTGATCATTCTTCTGAAAATTTGCAGTTGTCCTTTCTCTCCCTCGATCTCCAAAGTGCTGGGATTGCAGCTGTGCACAACCAAGCCAGCTCAGGGGAACACTCGCTTTAATAGCTTTTATTTGTATATATAGTATACTTAATAATGCAAAAATGTTCAAGTAGCCTTCATGATAATATGCAAACTCTGTGTGCTGTGTGCATGCCAAGAGTTGGGTTTTGTTCTAGGAATCTGCCCATTACCTCTAATAATAAAACTTCAAGAAGGTAGCATAAAATAAAGGTTTAGCAGGTGGTGGTGATGCATGCTTTTAAATCCCAGGACTGGGGTGGCAGAGGCAGGAGGATCTCTGGAGGCCAGCTTGGTTACAGAGCAAATTCCAGGACAGCCAGGGATACACAGAGAAAACCTATCTTGGGAGAAAAATAAAAAAGTAAAGGTTTAGGAGGACATTGTTAGATAGCTTTCTATGTGCTGGCAATGACAGCTTAAAAAAAAATCCTCCACTCTTTCCCAGTCCCTGAGGCACATCTACCTAATTATTACTTACGAGCCGTTTTTTGAGAGATTAGTTTACAACATGAGGGAACAGCTTGCTCTATCACAGTGAACAGCAGAGGTTCCAATGACACCTCAGTGTGTCATTTCAGGGGGTGCCTCTCCAATTATGAGACCAGCCATAGTCTGTCTGGACTTCACCTGCTACATGGTGACCACTGGCCACGTGATTTTGAAATAAGAGCACACGGAACAATATTATGGAGCTGTCCTGACATCATCTACTTTCCTGGGTCAATGCCAGGGCCTGTCCTGGTCCACTTAGGCTTATCCTGGTTTAGCCACCACCACCACCCCCTTCAGCATGGTATGCACTACACAACATGCTCCTTTTCCAATTGGAAAATGGAAGCATAAGTAAAGTTTCCTTGAGTAGCAAGTACTGTTAGAAGCCCATGATCAAGGTATCTGCTATTTAACTTTTCATTTACTCTCTGCACATTCTGCTGGGCCCTCTGCACCACTAGTGCTGAAGGTGGATGGATGCCTTTGCATACTCAAGGCAAGAGCTCTACCACTGAGCCGTTTCTACCAAATCAAGTTCTTTTTTTTTTTCGAGACAGGGTTTCTCTGTATTGTTTTGGAGCCTGTCCTGGAACTTGCTCTGTAGACCAGCCTGGCCTCAAACTCACAGAGATCTGCCTGCCTCTGCCTCCCTAGTGCTGGGATTAAAGGCCCCGCCTCATTTTCCTCTTTTAAGAGACATGTTTTTTTTTTTTTTTTTGGACTCGTGGTTCAGATGATAGTCTTCCTGAATTTTTACAAAGCTTTCCAGAAAATGAGGCTAAAAAAAGAGCCCGGTGTAAAAAGCAAAGCCACTTATCAGTGTTTATCTTTGAAGCAGTCACTTTAGGGCACATAGGTTGTTTGAACCTAGGTAGCAAATTCCATATGTAATTGAAATATAGCCACAAAAAGTTAGCATTTGCCTTCCTTAGAGGGCAAAGATTGGGTCTCTTCAATCTGCTTGTAAATGCAGTAATCCTCCCCCCAGGGTATAATTGTGCATGCCTATAATTCCTTCCTGTACTGAGAAGATTGCCATGAGCTGAAGTCTGCCTAGCTTATGCTGTGAGCACAGGCCAGCCAAAACTAGATATCAAGACCTTGTCTCAGAGAACAAGGAGAGAAAAGAGGGGGCAGGCAGGAAATACATCTTGGAAAGCTCTTTTAAACTTAGTCTCCATGAAGTGTATTTGTCATCCCACCATTTAGGTTCAAACCCCTTGATCAAATGGAACCCTGTTTTTCCTGTTCTGTCGCCTTAGAAAAGGAAATCATAGGAAGATGTCCATGGATAAGGACTAACTGGGCAAGCTAGGGAGGAGAGATAAGTGGCACTTTTAAATAGGTCAGGAGGACTCTGATGTCACAATTGAGCAGAGAGGCAAAGAAAGTGAAGCACAGAGCCCAGCTGCTGACCCCATCTGGAAGAAGAGTTTTGGGGGTACATGCTGAGAGTCTGAGATGGACTATGGAGGCAGTTGGTTCTCCTGGAGCCAAGCAGAATGGGAAATGGTACCCTATCAAGACGAAACCACATCATGTCTTCCAGGCCATGGTAGAGACTGTGGGTTTTACTCTGGGTGGAATGGGAGGTGGTGTTGGAGAGTTTTGAGCAGAGGAGGGGTAGGAAGTATTCTCATGGGGTAACTGATGTGAGGACAGACTAGAGGCCAGAGCAAGGTCAGGTAGATGAGCGAAGTGATTGAGGACAGTTGGAGGGGAGGAGATCAGAAGTGGTGAGATGTTTGCCAAGGAAAATTAGAACTAATGACTTAAATGTAGGGAATAAAAAGAAGCTAACAATGACTCCTAAGGCTTGGACCTATTTATCTGAACTGAGGAAGATGTTGAAGGTGGAACAGCTGTAGAGGCAGGAAAAGGGGAAGGTCTTGGGATTTGCCATGATTTCTGAAATTGCAGCAAACCTCCTTAGAAATCAGGTTCAGTCAAGTAATTTATGTCAAACGGCGGTCCTGGATCTGAAGAATCTTCTGTTTCTTTCTTTCTTTTTTTTCCTTTTCAGTTTTATCTTTGAATTGAATTTGGGCCAGAGCCTTCCTCAAAATCCTAGTATATATTACCTCCTGGTTCCCTTTTGGTGATCTATGTGGTTTCATTTGTGAAAATTTTATATTCCTTGTAAACTTTTTAAGAACTGTTTCCTGTAATCTCAGCACTCAGGCAGGAGGATTTTTATGAGAGTTTGAGGCCAGCCTGAGCTACATAGTAAACACCAGGGTAACCCAGTACCTACTACTATCCAAGACTGTCTCAAAACAGTGAAAAGACTTGGGTTTTAGGCAGTACTTCCCCAAGGGTGAGTGCCTTGATCATGTCACTTATACAGGACTGGCCACTTCTGCTGAGCAGTGCCCGCCTTGTAGGTGGGAGCTATAACTACTACTATGTATTTTTGACTCTAGCCTCCTGCCCAATACAGAGGCTAACTGAGTGACTGAATGCTTGTGAATAAATTGTAAGGAACTAATGAAATGTCTCTTCTTGTCTCACTCTGTAGCGCCTGATGGCTATAAGGTACAAGAAAAGAAAACTGCCCCCAGCCGCCCTAATTCTACACTTTCAGGACAAAATAACAGCCACTCAGGAAATAAACCAGGTAAGATATTATGTGGAGAAGAGGAAGGTTGTTCCAAAAGCCTCCGACACATGACAGTAAATAGAAATCAAAGGTAGAATTTAGGAGTGATCGGTCATATCCCTGCCTCCAAAACCCTCATACACAGATTTGTGATACAAAAAGTAAAATCTCTCGATTGTCTCAGAGTTCTCTCCTTTAAATGGAAATGAAAACGTAAGCCTTTTGAAATCATTTTATAATCACTGAGATGACTTTCATGGACACATTCATTTACCACCAAACAGCATCTAAAACAGTGGTTCTCAACCTTCCTAATGCTGCAGTCCTTTAGTACAGTTCCTCATGTGGTGGTGACCCCAACCATAAAATTATATTCCTTGCTACTTCATAGCTAACTTTGCTACTGTTAAGAATCTTGAGCAGGGCGGTGGTGGCGCATGCCTTTAATCCCAGCACTTGGGAGGCAGAGGCAGTTGGATCTCTGTGAGTTCGAGACCAGCCTGGTCTACAAGAGCTAGGATAGGAGCCAGGATAGCCTCCAAAGCTGCGGAGAAACCCTGTCTCAAAGAACCAAAAAAAAAAAAAGAATCTTAGTGTTTTCCAGTGGTGTTAGGCAATCCCTGTGAAAGGGTCATTCGAACCCCAAAGGGGTCGTGACCCACAGGTTGAGAACCACTGCTCTAAAAGGCGCTGTGTTGAAGCCAAGTTATAATAGTTTTTGAGCCTGTTTGCCCAGCATTATTATATATCTCTTTTGTGACTTTTATGTAAACCCACTCACGTCTTTACAGAGACACTGACACAGTTGTAAACCTTCATTCTGTTCCGTGCAATGATCATAACCTACTTCAGAGTAATTTTATGTAATTTTTTGTGAGTCATGATCTGTTCCCCTGTCTGTACACACAATGCAAACATCTGAACAGGCAGCACCACCTTCTTCCCAGCATCCCAAACCACTGTGTGGCTTCTGGGCAAGTTGAGCATGCAGCACAATGCTGATGAGAGTCCACAAGGTTCTTGGAAACCTGCTTCATACATTATTCAACTTCCGTGGATCGGTGAGAATAAAGACAGAAATGCCTGGGTCCAGGCTCACAAAATAATATCCATTCTACTTCGTTTTGTCTTTTTGACATGTGGAAAGCATCTTTATCGAAGTAGATAAATCTGGCTTGTCATTTAGGCGGAAGACAGCAGTGAATAGATATTGTTGCTTGAACAGTGTCAGCTGCATTTTAGTGAGCAAGCTGAGATCTCCCATTTACTCAGCCACATCTGCCTGCCCATGTACCCACCAAGAGCTAGTATTTATTGGCGGTTTCTCTGTGTCTGGGACTAGAGAGGGTACTGTGTCCCCTCTAATAGATCTGTTACTCTAATAGAGCTTCAACTCCTTACATTCATGTGAGTGCCCTATGGAAGTAGAAGTCCCTTTTGGTTTTATTTGTTTTTATTGTGCCAGAGAGCAAACCCAAGGCCCTGCTTTATGCTAGGTAGGCATTGTACCACTAGCTATATCCAAATCTGAAGTGGAAATTCTCCTTTTTCAAGTGTTGTTTAGATTTGATAAATAAGAATAATAGAAAACAGATAGCTTAGTGGCACAAAGATTATCTGATGAAAATATCAAAAGGCTTCAGAAAGATTATGACTTTACTTGATTTGTTCTTTTCTGATGATGTCGGAATCAAAGGACTCCGTACATACCAGCCAAGCATTACCACTGAGCTCTATTCCTGGCTCAAAATGCTTTAAAATAGAAGAAAAATACTTGGGCGCTCTCAGAAAATTAATGATAACAAAGCATATCACTGAGTGTAGACACATTCTGATTTTCATAAGACTATTATTATTTCAGTAACATTTTTTAAAATTTAATTATGTGGTGCTGAGCAAGGTGGTGCATGGATCTCTGAGTTCAAAGCCAGCCAGGCCTTGATCTCTGAGTTCAAGGTCTACAAGAACGAGTTCTAGGTCACCCAGGGCTACACAGAAAAACCCCGAGTCAAAAAAACAGGAAAAAAATTATTATATGTATATGTGTGTTGGGGGTGGTGATATGTGTACACGTGATCGAGTGCCCATGGAGGCCAGAAGAGCTTGTGAGATCCCTGGGCCTGGAGTTTCTGCAGTTGTGACACACTCACACACCCTACCACCCCACCTTGTGATGCTGGGGACCAAACTCAAGTCCTCTGCAAGAGTAAATAATTGTTCTTAATCACTGAGACATTGCTTCAGCCCCTCATTCATCAAAAATTTTTAACAGAAGTTGTATACCAATGTGTATCTTTTTAAAATTCATTCTTCTCCTACTTTGTCTCATTTCAGATCCCCCGCCTGTGCTACGGGTTGATGACCGGCAGCGTCTGGCCCGAGAACGCCGAGAGGAACGAGAAAAGCAGCTAGGTAGTCCAAACCCCACACTGCACATGCCTGGTCATTCAATGATGGCCTTGTTGAAATACTAATCTTTCTGCTCTCAGACAAGGGACAATTAACATTGAGAGAGTAGGCATGACTGTAACATCTTTGCTGTCTGGTGTGCTTTTGCGTATTTGGCTGGTGGCTGGTGAAGCCGTCTAGTGTGTGAGCCAAGCTTAGAACTAGCCCTAAATAGCAGTCATCTACAATCTACAAAACCAAAACAGAAAAACAGTGCAAGGACAGTCTCCTTTTTTTTTTAGGTCCAAAGGTATGAGACTTGATACTTCCTGGTGTCCACGTTGAAGTAATCGTGCTGCTGACTTTACAGACAGGAAAGGCAGAGACCTGATGCCAAGGTCCCTGCTTTTCCTCTTGTCACCAGAGGCCCTTGTGAAAGGTCAGCAGCTCTAGTGTTTGCCTGCAGCCACCTGGCAAGCTGAGTCACAAGGCTGGCTCACCAGGAAGTGGCACTCAGGAGGCACAGTCCCGTGTTCTAGAAGGTTTCACTGGATATGGAGGCCTGTGCCAGCCCTTCCTTTATTTAATGTCTTTTGTTAGTTGATTTTCAGAACTGAATTTTCTTTTACCTTTTAAAATCCATTCTTATTTTATATGCATTTAAGAATTCCTTTTTACAGTGTTTGGTTTGCATGTGTGTCTGTGTGAGGTTATCAGATCCCCTGGAACTGGAGTTACAGACTATTATGGGAAGTGAACCCAAGTCCTCTGGAAGAACAGCCAACGTTCTTAACCACTGACTCATCTCTCCAGCCCCCAGAATTGAACCTTTATATTGAGTGATCTTATAGTTCCTATCCAACAACCATTTTTTCTAACTTTACCTTTATTTTTGACAATTTTATATAGATAGCATTTCGATTACTAACCTCTTCAACCCCTATTTTCCTCATACTACTGTTGCTGCCCCAAGTTCTTTTCCCACGTTCATGTTGTCTTTGTGCGTGCGTGCATGCATGCGTGTGTGTGATGAGTTGTGTGCCCAAGGGTTTGCTACTATGTATAAAGCATAGAGCATGGTGAGCTCATCTGTGGATACACAACTAAAGACAGTATGTGCCCTCCCCCCTGAGTCCATCAGTACAGTTCATCGGGGAGGGGCATGCCAAGTTGCCAAACAAGGGTCCTTACATTCTTTGAAAAGAAAATGCTTAGCGTGTCTAGAGTGTGGAGATGTTTCAAAACTAAGGCAGCCTGGGGCCTGAGGTCTTTACAGAAAGTGGCCTGTGCTTTGCTGACGTTGTGTAGTCTAGAAGAGCTAGTTCATCCACTGGAGGACCCAGCCTCTCTAGCCCATGCCTTTCCTGTTCCTGATCAAGAACCTATGTGTGTGGAACTATCGGCCTGGTAACATTGGCCTCAAACTTGGGATCGTCTGCCTCCTTAGTGCTGGGATTATGGCCCCCTGCGCCATTCCTGCTGTGGCTGAGATGTTTTTAAACACATTTTCACTAACTCACTGGGAAGTAATTAAACTGCCGTTTTTCTGAGCCCAGTGTTTCCTCCCAGACCTACTGTCCCCTGCTTCTGCTGGATTTCCTGCAGGCGGGCAGTTCCTGGAAGCAAGCTTGTTGTGGCCTATAGGCCACCCTCCTCCTGGGCACACTGCTCCCCAGCAGTGAGGTTAGTCAGACAAGCTGGCCAGCACGGGAGTATTCAAAATGAAAGGCTTTGAATGAACAGAAAACCTTAGAAATGCGCACCATATGAAAAAACAACATAAAGGTTGGCTATGACAACTGCTACTGTGCTTTCAAACTTTGTAGTGCTACATATCTGAAAATATTTCAATTTTTAGAAGGAAACTAAAAAAATGAATGGCCAGTGATTGTGATTATTTTCTGTTGGATGTAGGTTGAAATTAACATTGAAATCTTTAAAGTTTTTTGTTGTTGTTGTTGTTGTTGTTGATTTATTTGTTTTTCAGTCCAGATCTTTTAAAAGGCAAAGTCAGGAGGAGGGAGGGACGAAGGATCCGGTGGTTTCATCTGGAGATGTGGTGTGCTTGTACTGGTGGGTTAATAGGTGGGGACTATTAATATTTTCTATGTTAAATCTCTGAGTCATGCTTTAATGCTTTTATGGTCAAACTGTGTCACTTGGTCTGTTCTTCCTATATTATCCTTCTGGTTTTCATCTAAAACCTAGCATAATTTCTTCCTCTGTGAGACTGCTTGGTCAGTTGGTTGGACATATGGCATATGCCCTCTGAAAGCTTTTCCCCTGTCTTAAAAGCTTTATAAGTGGTCTCCTCAATCACTCCACTCCATCTAAATCAATTCAAACCATTCCTTAAAACCCCCACTTGATTTCTACATTTCTCTTGGTGTCTCTCTTTCAAGCTTTTTTTTTTTAACCTAGGGAGAAATGTCTTTGTCTTGATCATTTGTTGTTGTGTTCATCTCTCTCTCGGTGATGCTGATGGTTCTCACATCTCTAGCAGGTGGTTCCCTGTTGTCTGTAACAGAACTTGTTTGGGGTTAGAGTTTTGGCATGTGTCTCTCTCCATAGCCTAGGCTGGCCTCAGACTCCCAGCCCTCTTCCTGCCTCAGCCCTCTTAATGCCACAATTAGAGGTGAGAGCCACCACATTTTGCTATAAATTCAGCCTCTATACAGCTCCATTGTCATCCAAAACTGACTCATCTTGGTAACATCTGTGTCCTAATCAATTGTCCAATACATTCCTGGCCTTGAGAAATTGGGGTCATGTTTTGTTTTTAGGGGTTAGCCATTTGTGGCATTTCAGCTGTTTTGAGAGATGCTAGAACCGCTTTATTTACTACTGGTGTGAGCTACTAAACACTTACTGTGAAGACATGAGGGCCCAAGTTCAGATGCTCACGTAGAACTGGGAATGGTGCTGGGTGTATAATTCCCCAACTCTGAGGGGAAGAGACAGCCAAGGTCTCAGAGTTTGCTGGCCAACCAGTCTAATAAACAATGAGTGCCAGGTTCAGGAAGAGACCATCTCAAAAAATAAGGTGGAGAATGATAGTAAAAGAGAGCTAGCATCCATCTCTGGCCTCTCCATGCACACTTACATTAGTCAGGACCTGTAAACGAGAATGCTCCTGCAAGCATACACCACACATATACCTCTCTCTCTTCTCTCTCTTCCTCTCTCTCTCTCTGATGCACACACACACACACACACACACACACACACACACACAGACACACACATACACACACAGAATATTTACCCAAGAAAAAAAGTCCTCCACATTTCAAGAGATACGGAGTTTCTCTTTTTGAAAATAATAGGGTGAGTTTGAAGTGTTAGGTTTGATTTTTCAAGTATTTTGACATACTTTTGATAATTTGGTAAATTAGCTGAGGTAATTATATTAGACTTTACCCTTCCAACTATAGCTTTATTATTTCACCTTTTTTTTTCTTTCTAATTTTAATGTGTTATCAATTCAGGGACAGCAGTATTAGTGAGTACAATAGAGAGATAAATTGTCATTTCAACCTGGCATAAAATATTCATCTCAAAAATACTGATAAGCAAGTTAGTATTTGCTAATTATTTTGTCTTTTTCAAATACCAAATCGTGTGTGTGTGTGTGTGTGTGTGTGTGTGTGTGTGTGTGGGTGGGTGGTGGTGGTGGTGGTGGTGGTGGTGGTGGTGGTGGTGGTGTTGCTGCTGCTGCTGCTATTATAATTTTGGGACCTAGGTTGTTGCACATGCTATATAGATAAGCATTCTAGCACTGAACTATATATACCTCCTGACCCTCTGAGACCAAAATCTTTATGTGAGTGTACTTTCATTCCCAACTGGAGCTGTGTGGGCTTTTCTGGGTTCTATAAAATCATGGAAGAGGCATGGAGATAACTTAGTGTATAAAGACTCCTAACATCAAACTATAGCCCACATGTATACTGTGTCGTGAATGTGCCCACATACACTTACACACATATGAATGCAGAAAATAAGTGCAATTTAAAATTTTTAAAAGATGAAATTATTATTATGTCATTGATACAGCTTTTATTGAACTTATAATTCTTTAATTAGCTTGTGTTGGTTTTTGTTTTGTTTGTTTTTTGAGACAGGGTTTCCCTATATAGCTTTGGAGCCTATCCTGGAACTAGCTCTTGTAGACCAGGTTGGTCTCGAACTCACAGAGATCCACCTGAGTGCCGGGATTAAAGGCATGCTCCACCACCTTCTGGCTCTTGTGTTGATTTTTTTGTTGCTGTTGTTTTCTGGGGGGGTGGGTGTTGTTTTGTTTTGTTTTTTTGTTTTTCAAGACAGGGTGTAGCTTTGGAGCCTATCCTGGCACTCGCTCTGGAGACCAGGCTGGCCTCGAACTCACAGAGATCCGCCTGCCTCTGCCTCCCGAGTGCTGGAATTAAAGGCGTGCACCACCAACGCCCAGCTTCTTGTGTTGGTTTTTACAGCTAAGTTTAAAGCTGTCCAAGAGATCTATCAGAATTTTGTTGTTGTTGTTGTTTGTTTTGTTTTGGTTGGTTGGTTTTCGTTTTTTTGAGACAGGGTTTCTCTGTGTAGCAGCCCTGGTTGTCCTCAACTCACTTTGTAGACCAGGCTGGCAGAATGTATTTTCAAAAGAGCACAATAATATAAAATTTTTCAATTAGATTAGCTGAGATAACTATATTAAACTTTTCAGCTGTAGCTTTTTTACTTTGTCTTTTTTTTCCCCCTTTCTCATTTTAACGTGTTATCTATTCAGGGACAACAGTATTGGTGAATACAATTGAGAGATAAATAAATTATCATTTCAACCTGTTACAGAATGTTTATCTCAAAAACACTGAAAGCAAATTAGTATTAATTAGCAAACACTCAGTGATGATATAATCCTGGCTAGAGTTGTCGTATGTGAACCCCTTCTGGTTTGGAGAGCAGTTTTGTTCTGAGGAAAGCTCTAGAGATTTCAGAGACTAGTCCCAAAAGAAGTGCGGAGGGGGACAAGGAGGAGGGGAAGTTTA